TTGTTGTTGTTCTTCAGTCTAGTTGTGGAGGACGCCGCCTCACTGGCGCAAGTTGGCACCATCATTGCGCTCCTCCCAGGCGAGGCAGACCAGTCGCCGGCCTCTGGACGGCCTCTCACCGCAGCTGCTGGCCGCCCACGCTGGCTGCTGGCTGCACACGGCAGCCCATGGCAACCCACGGCAACCCACGGCAACCCACTGCCACCGGGGCTGCAGCCTCCGCCGTCGCCAGCGACCCACGGCTGCCCAGCTCCAGGTTGAGCTGTTGTTCAGCATCCCAGCTGTAGAGGGCAGTGTCACTGGCCCTCATATGTGGGATCCGAACCGGGGCCCTCTGGTGTCCCAAGCCAGTTCTCAACCATCGCGCCACTCGGCAGGCCCTGTTTTGTCGTTTTTTAAACGTGAGACTGGTATTTGGAAGCCCCCCAGCTTCAGGCCCAGCCCTAGTCTTTATTAACTGGGTACCGCTGAGCAGGCCACCTCGCTCCTCTTGGATGCCAGCTAACTCACCTGTAAAAAGAAGTCAGCCTCGATGACCGCCCGTTGTGTCTCTACAGCATGTCCCGAGACCCCGTTCACGGTCATTACCTCGTTTTTGTCTTATTCTTCTTGGCAACTCCACTTAGCGAGGGCAGGCAGAGTAGCAGTTAGGACTTCCATTTTACGTTTCAGGAAGCTGTGCCAGCAGAGGTCGCCCACCTGGGAGTCCAATGGCCTTGGATTCCAGGGCCTTCCCTGTTGTCCTGGCTGCAATCTGTGTCTGGCTCCTCACGCGGGCCCCTGTATAATGGCAAGTAGTTAACAGTATTCCATTGTGAACCTGAGAGAGGCAGAGTGACAGGCAGGAGGGGACATCAAGCCCTTCCAAGGGAGGGGCAGGTGCGGGCGTGGCAGGCTGGGCCCGGGCCCACAGTCACACTCCCTTGTGCCCCTTGCTCGCGTCCCCATTAGCGTGTCTTTCTTTGCAGTTGACCTGGAGCAGGTTTGGGAGCTGGACTCTCTGGAGTACCTGGAAGCGCTCGAGTGCGTGACGGAGCGCCTGGAGAGCCGCGTCAACTTCTGCAAGGCCCACCTCATGATGATCACCTGCTTTGACATCACCTCCAGGCGCCGGTGAAGAGAGCCGGCCCGCCTCGCCAGGCCCCTGACTCCCCGCGGCCCCACAGCCAGTCACACGCACCACCAGGCCCCCCCTCTCCCCACCCGGGGCTGGTGGCGCTCAGAGACCACAGAATGAGGTTGAAGGTTGGTGGCAAGTGTGGAGTGACGTTGAGTGGAAGGTGGTTTTTCTTTTATTTTCTGTAGGAAAGGTGCAAACACCCGACAACGCATGGGAGGAGAAAACGATGGGAAGCCCGAGGGATGTGGAAGCCCCGTGAGACTGAAAAAGCACTTTGAGGAACTTTCAAGAATATGTTTGTACATAAGAACTGCTGGCAAAAGAGACCTCACCCTTCTCCTGGTTTTGCGAAAAAGGGCGAGGCGGGGACGTGGGATGGCTGTTGAGAGCTGAAGCAAAACAACGAGAATTACCCAGAATGACTGATCAAGTGCCTTGCAAACCTTTATTATTATCCAAACATGTATGTTCATACTTTCTTGTGTACAGATGGTGCTAGTCGAGATGCAAACAACGAAACAAACAAAAAGGAAAATCAAACACATTGTTGAAATGTTATTTACAGCTCGAGTTCTCTTGGCGTTTTCTCCTATTTCTGACTTGCTCTTCCTAAGTTGTGTTTGTAGCGTGATTTCCTAATCAGTATTGCATACGAATAAATGCTAACCGTCTTTTAAGGTTCTCCTGGTAAGGCCACTCAAACAGAACATGGAGACTTCACAGGCACAAGCCAGTGTGTCCAAAGGAGGTTGGAGCAGCAGGTGGCGCTCGCCGTCACCTCTCCCTGGGCCGCACCAGCTGGTTAACCCTGGAGCAGGTACACGTGAGCTTGAGAGAACAGGAGAGGAGAAAGGGGCTGCCTCTTTAAGGGGCTCGGAGCCTTTGTGACCCGGGCCCCGTGTGTCCTTTGTTCCATAGTCAGTTTCCCCTCCAAGTCCTGACACACTTATAGGTTCCTTTCCCCACACATCCAGGGCTTTCGGGACCCTCAAAACATTTTTCATATTCGCTTTTATTCCAAAGACCCTGGATTGACAGCTTGAACCAATTCACCAGAGCCGTGATTTTTGTTCTCTAGTTTGGTGAATTTATGAGAGCAGGGGGTTGTTCTCAGTTTAGAGACCCCCTCAGGCTTGTCTGTGCTCAGAGATGAGTGTTGGGATGCTGGGATTGCACAGTTTTTCTGTTGTCCAGAGTGCTGCTTAGATGGAAGAACTTCTGGTGCTCCCATGTCTCAAAGCCTCCATCCCAAGAAAGGACCAGTCTCGCCCCCAGCCTTGGCACCTGAAGGCAGAGGGAGGTTTCCTGTCACATACCACACACCCTGCAGAGGCAGAGCGCAGCAGTTGTGCATGTGGGTCTGCAGGTCTTGGCTCCCAGGATCTTTGGACCCCATTCTAAAGTTAACATGTTCATCCTTGTCACAATTCACTTAGGGCTGATTATACCCATGTTAGCGATGGAAACGCGAGGCACAGAGTGGTCGAGGGATTGTCTGATACCAGTTGTGGGGCAGCAGGGGTGTCTCCTACCTCCCAGGCCCCTGCGGCCAGCCCGCTGATGAGGTGCTCAGGGTTTTACAGAGCACCGTTTGTTTCTGCCCTCAAATGCAGCATATCTCACGAGCCTATTTCCTGGCTCGGCAGTCCCCGATAACCAACTCCTCAGCCCCAGGGCTCCCCAAGGAAGAAGAAACTTTTCGTTTTTTTGTTGGTGCACCTCTGGACACAGGTGGCCCCCACACAGCTGGCTAGACGGCCAGCACAACTCAGTCGAATTCAGTCAGTAGGAACCAAAGTCTTGTGAGCGTCACGGTACCCGATCCTTTCCTGGTCAGAACAGAACAGGGCACAGGGGACCCCATTCTCTCTGTTTGGAAAGTCAGCCACATAGACGGGAGGCTCTGTGGATGACCAGTCCAGCTTTGCGCCCTATACGAGCCTGCCCCTATGCACAAGAGCACATGGAGGAAATACGGACCCGAATGTGGTGAGAGTTTACTCCAGAATGGACCATTTCCACTCTAGTTGATCAGGTGCGTCTGTCTCCTTGGGGAGCAGGCTTCCCCATCTCCTCACCCTAAACCCCCTTCTGCAGGGCCAGCTGAGGCTCGGGTACACATCTGGTCTCAGCAATCGTGTGAATACAGCAACGTTATGGAAGCATCTAGACCCCAAGGAGTCCCAGTCTTTCAAGTGTGAGGTTTCCATTTGGCATCCTTTGTTGGTCTGAAATACACGACTTTTTGAAAAGCCTTGAATTTGGGGGTTGCCCAAGGTAAGTATTCTAGTCTTTGTTGGACACAAATTCACTTGATTAGCAATCAGTAGGCTTAGCTTTTGCCCCCGGCACATCTTCCCCTCGCCCAAGGCCACCACGCTGAGCCGACTTCCTTAGCAGCTCAGCCAGGGGGCCCTGGGGCCTTTCCTGGAGTGAAGCTGAGTGGAAGCATCTGCGGAGATTTAAAATCTCATCAGTAGAATCTTTCCTAGGGGAGTGGCCTCAGCTGGCCTCCTGCCTAAACCTGCTTTTATCCATTTGTAGCAACTTTATGAGACAGTAAAAGGGTTGAATGAAGCCAGGAGCCATCTTGCCAAGTCAGCATGGCTTCCCCAAGATGCCACAAATACTTTGCAGGCTGTCGGCTGTGGTGCAGGCCGATCTGCGTGCAGGTTGTCCGTTCTGGCACTTGCTTTTTTTTTTTTTTAACCTGAGTAAACTGCAAACCTATTAACATACCAGTTGCTGATTAACCATGTGAAACAATCATGAATTTTATTCTGTGTTTGTTCCTAGTTCTCCCCATGAGTTGATCCTTAGGCTAAAGGGAAGCAGATCTGATCCCCCGATTCTGAAACCATCCCCATCTCTAAAGAGTTCAGCCTCCTTCCATGGTCAGTGCGAGGCAGGCCCAGGTCTCCTTCCGGTTTTGGTGACAGATAATCCAAGAAGGCAAAGGGAATGTCAGAGGAGCCATTTCCATTTCATTATCCACTAAGGAAAGGACGAGAATAAGGTTGATTTGAAATTAACATTTAGACACAGAAGCCTTAACTCCTTGTCTGAAATCTGCCCCCTCTCCAAGTGGTTTAGTGTGAGGTGGAAGGAAGCCTTAGCAGCAGAACAAAACTCATCCAAAGACAGGAGACGGTGATGTTATTTCCCGGAGTAAATCCATACTGCATTTCATGATGGCGTTTCATGCTGCCACAAGCGATAGTTTGCGTTATCCTGGGCTTTCGGTCCCCACCTGAGAGCCGCACCCTTTGATCTCCATGTCCTTGAATTCCCCGCCACGTCATGGGGAAGCTGTCGCTAACTTTCATCTCTTTCAGATTTGAAATTGAAACCCCATCTGTTGTTTTTATCTCTAATTGCTATTCTGAACATGGGGAACTTGAGATGTAAATGCAGAGGTTGGTCCCACACAGGCGGGGATCATGCAAGGGACCCCAAGCTGGGGAGGCAATAGAAGCTGGGATTAACAAGCCATGCAGCCCAGAGTGGGGGACAGGGCAGGCAGGAATCCAGC